AACAACGACAGCCCTAATTCATCATGAAAATCAAAACATCGATATAATACACGTGTGTGAGGGTCGCAACCCTTCCGGAGCCGCCATATGCCGCGGCGCTGCGAACGCCCTTAAATTACAGAACTTCCCGCTCATAATAGAGAGATATGCCTTTAATATCTGCCGGAAACTGCCTCTGTGCCTTGTTTACTTTTTGCCTCCGTTCTTATATTAGAAATTGCGTACGCTGCTTGCCTAGTTATAGTGAGTGAATGTGAATTTTCCGTAATAATGACTCGTAGTACACGAAAATGGTTAGACTGGGTCATTGTAACACTTTCTTGTTCCACAATTTTGTACCTTTGTTGTAAAATAAAAATTCATTCAGGTATGACCCAACCAGAAACAAAGGGCACCAATAATAATAAACGACGAAAAATATATAAATACAAAAGAGCAATACCAGCTGAATAAGCAATAAAATCAACCCCCACAAACCGGGAGCAATTTCAATCACAATTGCGCAACTGTCCTGAAACGCACCTGCTGACTGTGACGGGACAACACGTGCCCGACTAAGAGCCTACTTAACGTAAGTGACCCTACTTACAGAATCCCAACTGTGCCGTCGGAGACACTCCAATAGCCAGCAATTTCACGAGGCCCGCCCGCCATCTGCGACCGACGCGCCAAAAAATAACATTCCCCAAAAAACATTTGCGAAAGAAAGGGATATTAGTCTCCGCGGGGCAATAATCGAAGCCAATCGGCCCACCGAACGCCCCGACACGACACTTTCTTTATTTATACCATTACTTTGCTGTATGGTAATATCGTAAAGAATATTTTATGTTCACGTGTAGACACCTTCTGATTTCGCAATATTGTTATCCCGAAACTAGTTAGGAGGGGGGGCTGGGTATTGATATTTAAGTGTTGGGTTTATTTTATTATGTTCAAAGTAATAACAAGTTAAGTAAAATTGTCTATGTTAGTAGTCAACCAAAATATCTATGTTTTAACAGATACTTCTTACACACTTATTTAGGTAACACCTTACTGCACGTTTTTACACAAATACATAGTCTTTCAAGTAACTATTGGTACGCAAGTAATAAATGACCTATGGTAATATTTCTAGGTATGGAAAGATGTATAGCCTAAATCAAGACCGACGTGTACCTAATAACAACATTTTACACAAGACAAATTCTCACACCAACGACAACGCTTTCCTTAAATAATGAAAATTCACGAAACCTTACAAAAATATTTTTTAAACTAAAACAACTGACCTCAGTCAGTTTCTTATGAATATAATGAACGGTATAACAACATGATGTTATAGTCGCCATTACTCGTCAAGATTAGATTTCACGAGAGGCGACAAGTTCGCGTGTCGCCGTCACTAACACTTCGCGACCCCAACACTGAGCTACAACACGTTCGCTAATATACGGTGCACTTGTAAAAATATATATTTTCTGATAAAGAATATGAATGGTATTCAAATTATTTGAACTTTCGCTAATTTGATAGACTATTGTTTCTACAGATAAAAAACATGATTAGAGGGTTATTTTAACCCAACTATATAAGGAGATACCTAGGTAGGTAACAGGTCGCTCAACATAGGTATGTTGAGCGATGACGACAAATCAAAAAGAATAATATCGGTTGATAATTCTACACAAACCTTATTATATTTGTAACAAGACTTTCAGCAAACACAAATAAAATTGAAACTATTTTAAAGATCATGTTTACACCGAACAACAACTTTTGAAACCAAACATCGCACTCAATGTTAGCGCGCGGCCATTTTCCAATTTCTCCCGCCATTTCCTCGTATTTTTTCAATACGCGTTCAAGATCATTTAACATTTTTATGTGTAATCTTGCTGGATAGCGATAAGACAAGGAGATTTTTGCGCGCCTCACTTTATTTTATCGGCTACGTTTTATGGCAAACTCTAAACAGATTAAATCTACCAGTAGGGAGTCTTCCGGACACAATGTTCATTTATTGGCTTGTATTTTGGCTTTATAAGATTACTGGGGATTTTTGCAGAAGAGTTTCTTTCTTATCTCCCGTTTATCGATATAAAAATTGGGTTTACCTACATTATAGGTAAATATTGGGGAGCATGTTGTACAGAAACCTTTTTAAGACATAGGAAGTAAATCTGAGTAACATTCTTAACACAAATGTTATGATTTTGATACACCTACGTGACAAAAACTTTCACATCAGCCAGATGAAATTAAGTGACCGAAAGTTGCATGAAGAACCATTATTATTGTTGTACCAGATATGCCATTAACATTAAAATAACAATCATTAAGTTTAAAAGCTATGTAGGTTGAAGATAACACCGCATTGAAGCTTCACGCTTTAACGAGTGCACATAATATAAGTATGGCGTTCTACGTAATGAATCGTATAAAACACGAGTTTTATAACGCGAGCAGCGCATTCAGAGTCCTTTTTAAATTATGCAACATTTGTATGGAAATACAGGCGTCACCCCTGGCGACCGTGGCCTATGCCTCCTTAAAAACACATCCACAGTTATTTGTAGCCTCGGTTTGACGCTCACTTGCGATTTGATTGCTTTTTCATGGAGATCATATCGCGATAAACGTAGAAAAGTTTACGCTTAGGCACTATGCAGAAAGAAACTGTTTTTTTTTTTTGTAAAAATTACACTTAGTTGAAGTATTATCAATTTGTTCCGTTAAAAATGTTGTATTAATTAATAAATCCTGAAAACTTTCTTAATAGTAACTACTCAATAATCGCAAAGAGGTTTACATACCTAACATACTAATTTCCTAACTAACTGGCCATAGTTCTCGAAAAAAATTACAAATCGCCATTATCTGAAACGAAAAAAAAGTATTAATTTTTTATTGACATTATTTGGCGTTGACATTTTTTTCTGCCAAAATGGCCAGCGTTTAGGTTAAAAAAAAGACAACAACAACAAACTTTTTTCCCTTTACCGGTTTTTTTTTTCATTCTGTTTGTATGGTGAAAATCGATGTTGTTATAGTTTTATTTGTATTTCGCTCCCATGAGGCCTGACTATAAGGTGTCCCAACACATACGGCAGTTTCCGCCGACTCAACAACAAACAACACTCGCAATCACTAGTGTAAATGTTTACGGTTCTATTCTATTCGTACGTGCACCTCTACTTCAATTCGAATTTTGAACCGCGCTCCCGCGTTCACAAATTGCAAATCGTGTTTAAAAAAAATATTTAAATACATTTTTATTGCTATTTTACAAAAAAAAATTCCATAGTTATCACTGAAAAATGAAACAGTGACTGTGTACTTGTATTTTTACCCACTTCATAAGTACTTAGGTAATTGAAATTAGAATGGTCTAACTACGTGAAGCTAAACGTAAGATGAGGTCAGCTTTTAAAAAAATCTTAATGTAACGTAGGTATGTTTATATGTATATGAAAACTTAAGTGAAACTAGTCGACTTCCTCGTCAAACAGTTACGTGAGCAAGCCATAACATAATAAGTAATGACGTAGGTATTTCAATACTTTCAAACTAAAATATAGGTGCCTACTTAACCCTAGTCTAAATAAAAAAAAACGAAGATACTAGATACAATTTGAAAAGATCCAACCTTACTGCATCCTTTTGTTTATATCATATTTTCCATCGCGTACACTTTATTTTATTATTTCGACACGTAACCTCGCTCCTAGAAGCTGGAACAATTTCAAACCACCTTAACACGAGATTGCCTTGATAAAACCAACCTAAACGCTCCGTAATAGTGTTGTATTTCGTTCGCAACGCCCGTGGCTTTAGGTGATATCGTCATTCATGTTGGCTAACCTTATATTCTTGGAAGAATGGTTGGTAAATTTTCAATAGTCACTTTATTAGGGGTGCGGGCGGAAGCAGGGTGAGTGAAACTGCCTTTATTAGATTTTCTAGAACCGTGAGTCGGAAATTGGTGAATTGCATGGCCTGCGTTCGACACTTCCATATTGAAAGTTATTATTATAAAACACTGATACCTCGTTAGTTACATATCTAAGTACCTACATACTAGGTACCAAAATATTTTACTATTTAAATCATGATTTAATGTAGACACATTTACAGTATCTACAGAGTTTTCTCTGGTCACATGATGAGTCTACTTAGGTACTTATTAGCTTTTGTTCTATAAAATTCTCAAAAGTGGGAATGTATGTAAAGGTAAGGTATCAGTCTTTTTGGTATGCAAGTAGCTTAGAGTTTTTTAAATAGGTACTCAAGGCAAGTAGGTAGGTATCTACCTACTTATCTAAGCATTTCATTAGTCTTCAATAAACCTACCTCTTCTATCTCCTTACTTTTGGTTAGGAAGAAACATAGAAGACTTAAACACTACACAACACCTACATTACAAATTTTGTCTGTCTGATTCTAATTTTAATAAAGATAATATGCTGTGTTTTCTATAATATAATAACACACACTGAAATTTTGGCTGAATATTGCCATACATTAGCCTAAGGTCCTAAAACATTAATTTAATTGTCCGCTATTTTTTCTAATCCCAACTCTGTAAAGACTAAATAAGCGCCATCTTCTTTACATTCGTATTACTAATGAAATTCTGTGCAGAACACTATTTGACTACCTAATTGTTCAGTTAATGCTTTCATTCATCGTGAGAGGGCGTTACCAACTAATTTTTCACAATATTTTAGCAACTCTTGTAACGTTAGTAGTCCTAAGTATTTTTTTTTTTTAAATTGATGAATCCAAAGCGCTACCTGATATACCCTTTGCCCTTTACCCAAAACAAAAACAAAAGTATTTTTACTCTAGCAACAATCTGCATTGCATTCCTGTAAAAGTAGGGTTATGTATTTATTTCTTCGTATTCGTATGATGTGTCAAAAGTTTTAGCATAAATAGTGATTATCGTTTTTACTGTTTCTACAGTATTTTAATATAAATGTGAAGAAAATTGGACATATTTCACTGTTTACACAATGGCTGTTGTGATTGAAACGACTCTTGGCGACATTACGGTGGATTTATATCTAGATCAAAGACCCGTAACATGTTTGAATTTTCTAAAGTTGTGCAAGATGAAATACTACAACTACAACCTATTCCATACTATAAGAAGTGGCTTCATAGCTCAAACAGGCGACCCTTCTGGTGAAGGTTCTGGCGGGCAATCTATATTCGGTCTGCTGGAAGGACCAGACAAACGATTCTTTTCTGGTGAAAAAATGCCCAAGATCCGTCACACAGGCGCAGGTTTACTTTCTATGGTGGGCACTGGAGACATGATGATCGGATCACAGTTCTTCTTCACCTTGGCTCCTGATTTAGACTCCTTGGATGGAATTCACTGTGTTATCGGCGAGGTTACTGAGGGACATGATGTACTGAGGAAGTTGAACGATGTTATATGTGACGAGGGCTACCGTCCGTATCGCGATGTACGAATAACACACACTGTGGTACTTGAAGATCCTTTCAATGATCCTCATGGACTGAGAGCTCCGTCAAGATCACCATCTCCAAGTGCTGAGCGTCTGAAAGGTGGTAGAATAGCTCCAGATGAGGAAATTGATGAAACGCAAGGCAAGTCTGCGGCTGAAATACAGGAAATGATTGAAGAAAAAGAAGCTAAAGCTCGTGCAACTATTCTAGAAATTGTAGGTGACCTGCCAGACGCTGACATTGCTCCTCCTGAAAATGTTCTATTTGTGTGCAAACTAAATCCAGTTACTACTGATGATGACTTAGAAATTATATTCAGTAGATTTGGTAAAATTGTTAGCTGTGAGGTCATAAGAGATAAAAAAACTGGTGACTCTTTACAATATGCTTTCATTGAATTTGATGATAAAAAATCATGTGAAGATGCATATTTCAAAATGGATAATGTACTAATTGATGACAGAAGAATTCATGTTGATTTCTCTCAGTCTGTATCAAAAATGAAGTGGCTAGGCAAAGGAAGAGGTGTAAAGTATTTCAATGATGAAGAAGCTCAAGAAAGGGAAAGAGGAAACAATGTGAAGAATGACAAGCCTACACATTCTAAAAACAAAAATGATGAACATAGAAATAATGATAGACATAATCACAGCAATAATAAAAGGCATGATGACCGTGAGAAAGATAGAGACCGAGAACACAGATCAGACAGACATAGTAGACGTGAAAGAGAATCAAACCACAGGGTTGAAGAAAGATCACATAGGAAGAGAAGTAGAAGTCGTTCAAAACGTGACCAATCGAGAGATGGCAGAAACAATCATAGCAATGACAATAATCTATCAAGAAAATCTGATAGAAATGTCAAAGAATATAATAGAAATGAGTCTAGTAGACACAATAATGATAAAAAAAGAGATGGTTCTTCTGATAATAATACCTCTCGCTATTCTAATAAAAACAGTAAAGATTATAAACATGAATCTAATAAGAAAGAATATGAAAGAAGTAGAAATAATGATCATAGTGTATCAAAAAATTCTGAGAGAATCACCAGAGAGTACAAACATAATTCAGATAGGCATGAAAATGACAGAAGTAAATCAAATCATAATGATAAAAACTGTTCAAGGAATTCAGAGAAAAATGTCAAAGAGTACAAACAAGAGTCACAAAGAAATGAATATATAAAAAATAGACATAATTCTGATACTGAACCAAGGACAAAGGCATCACCAGCCAGTCAAAAAGAGCCAGAAAAATCTGTAGAACATAAGTCTAGGCATGAGAACAATGACAGAAATACTGAAAGAGATGTACAAAATAATAAACTGAAACGTAAAAGTGAAGATGAACCAGTAACAAAAAGTAAGAGACATAAGAAAGATGGTCAGAATATTGAAGCCAGAACTCCCACTCCTACTGATACTAAGAAAAAACAGAAACCCTCGACCAAACACAGCTCAAAAAAGGTCAAAACTAAGAGAGTTGTTAAAAAGAAACGTAAACCATCTACATCATCTGATAGTTCAACAGACTCAAGCTCTTCGAGTAGTACTGAATCTAGTTCATCAAGTGAAGAGGACCGTAAGAAAAAGTCTTTGAAAAGGAGGAAGAAAAAGTACTCCACCTCTAGCACTAGCAGTAGTGACAGCACATCCAGTTCATCATCAAGCACTGAGTCCAGTAGCTCCTCCAGCTCTAGCTCTGATGATGGTAAAAAGAAGAAAAGTAGAAAACATTCTAATAAAAAAAGAAAGTTATAGGATATTATTAATGTTAGGAAAATACTAAATAGACTAAAAAATTTAAAGAGTGTGTTTAGTTGACCTTCGCTGAAGCTAAGTTTAAGTGGCTTGTTTGCATGTCATATAGTTTTAAGAGTCTCAAATGTAAATTCCATGTGGCCATGTATGTGTACTGCCTTCAATTAATTAATTGTAATAACTTAGAACTTGACAGACTGAGAAAGCATACTTACATAGTACACTATTCTAGTAAAAGACACTGATATTAGTCATTATTACAATCTTAATAAGCAATAATACAAATACATTAAGTACTTAGAACATTCAAATGTGAACTTAGACCTATTTTATATTGCATTCAGCAATGCCTAATTCGGAACCAATTAAATAATGTTAAAAATGATATTTAAATTATCATAACACCAATAGATTTTAAACTGAAAATGCAGTAAAATGTATTGCATTTGTAAAGTATTATGTATTTTTAATTAAATGTTGATATTAAAAGTAGATTGGGTATCTATCATACCTGGGGGTAATGTGTAATTGTAGACTCGCCTTTTTCTAGTACAATTTGTCTTATGATTAGGATTGTTGGTATTATAATGCCCATTAAATAGCTAGTACTGCACGCTCACGCACTACTGTAATGCAATAGACTGAACCAAAAGAAATTAACTATTAAAGGCTTAGGAAGAGTGTAAATTCATTGTTGTATGTATTTGGGTTAACTTTGATGGTAATTTGCATACCAAACTTCTATTTTGTTCTTCTTAATTTTGTACGATTATATCAGAGCATCTATTTTTAAGTAGATATATATTAGCAATTCTGGTAGTACATAATTGAGATAACACTTGTCTAGTTATATTATTGCATGCCTACTGTATGAACTGTCTGGAGTGCATTTTTAATGTTTTTATTTATATGGTAATTCTCAGTGAGTTTCATTTTCATTTTGTTTTTTCTTGTACATAATTATGTTTCTTTAGTACCATAAAGTCACAATTACTATTTAATTTTTGTTGTAATTGCAATAGATGTTAATATTTGTTCTGTAGAGCCTATAATCTAGTTTTAAATATTTATCTTTCATTTTATCTAGGAATACTGAGGTGTTCACATCCAGGATAGTAATCAGATTGTAGGTAATTGTTACATATTTATGTATGAATATTTTTGTATATTATTAAAGGCGTTCAATGCATTGTTTTTTGTTTTAAGTTTTCGAACTTAAGTATGTTTGCTTAAGTACATACCTACCTATAATAATTCATTATATATACCCAAAACACAAACCCCGTTGCCTCGGTAGTCGAACTGTCATGCACACGACCAACGAGGCGGCTGTCTTTATAAATACTTACACGGTAAAGATACGCCGATTATTCGTATTCGGAGCGGAACAACACAAGCATTGTTTCGCTCCTGGTTTACCTACTGTGCGGCGTACTTATTATACTCTTTGCCGGAGTATAATAAGTACCTATAGATAGCACTCCGGCTGAGTTGGCCCACTCGTGCCGAAATATGGCTTTCCCATATGTGATGATAGGTCGAGTTAAATAAGTTGGACAATATTAGGCATTTGAGCAATTAAATTTATCTACCTATGGTACAATACCATAGGTAGATTACTTCCCTTCAATATTTTATTAATTTAGCATACCCAATCCCTAACCAGAAACCATACTAACCCGGTAGACGTGGAATATTCTTATCCTACTAAAACCATCCTTGACCTAGGGTCTGCTCCGGAGGCAAAAATCTATAATATTTTACCAAGATAAACCAAGGAGCCAGTAGGTACTACTACTAACAATCACATAGTCACCTCCTACACACAAAACTACTTAGACAAATTAATTTGTCTGATATCGTATGGCCATTTTATACCTATTAGAGTTACATCAAAGGAAATCATAAACCATGTCAAAGTTTAAAATGGAAGGTAGGTAATTCTTAGCTATACGGACTACGAAGTCTATTTACAGGACGTGGTCTCGTCATAATCGGGAACGTTCCATTGGCTTGCCTTTGTGTGTTTAACAAGAAGATGGGCCTCGTTACGCGACCATTGTGCACCTTCAGCCGCTATTGTTGAAGTGTGTAAGTATCGTCATCTGCGAATGTACCTACCTACCTACATTTATGGAGGAACGTACTATGTAGGTAATAAATAAGTATAATATTATTATTTGTTTGGAGGTAAATATTTCTAGGGTGGCTGATGTAGACTAATACCATTTCCGTTTAGTGGTCACAACCGGTCTCATAGACATTAGGTATCTAAGTATAGTAAAGGGTCCCAGGTGGCTAAGTTCGATTTCAACTAAAACATTTAATTTTGTAAGAGTTCAGTAGGTCTGATAGACGATAACCTATCTAATCACAAAAATTATACAAGCTAAATTAACTAAAAATCGCGGCTCACTGTGAATATACTGAGAAAAGCTCTACTAGTTTCGAACCACAGGGGGGTTCTTCCTCATGAGCAGCGTGCGCGGTTTCACGCATGTTCACGTGAGTAACTCGCGACTTTTAGTTAATTTAGTATGTCTCACGATAGTTATTATAAAAACATTATATAAGCTTTTGAACTTTGATAAAAGTACATGGTACCTATGTAGGTAAAAGCCTATTGTACCATTGTAGAATACCTATACCTAAGCATAAATTTGACTGTGTGTGTGTCTACATGTTCAGTGTAAATGTAACATCTTCTAACCCATTTGAGACGACGCTTCGCCCCAATACTTCGTACCTAGGTACACAACACAATAGAACTACAATCAAGGGAAGTGCGCTCAATCTCACTACTAAAGGCACGGACTTGGATACAGTCTTGATTCACTGATCTCAAGTGAGTGTAAAAAGCTTGAACATGTTTAATGTAATGTAATTAATATGTACTGACGCCTATACCGTCGGGACTCATCATCCAGATAATATTATTTTATGAAGGGCTTATTTAGCTCTGCCGTGCGGACGTCAGACCTAGGTAAGGCAGGGGCGGACTGAGTTACGGTTACCTAAGTGCTCAGGGGTTTTGTAGAAATTATTCTAAGTTGTACCTACTTACTGTTGTCGCATAGCCAAATTACAAACCCTACCGGAGTTAAGTACATCTAAGTAAACAGCTGTACCTACCTTCGACAACTTAGACTTCTGCCCTTGCTGGGTAGGTACTACTTTCTTTCTTTCTTCTAACTAGGTATACATTGTGAGTTAGGTAAGAGACTCCTTAGTAACATGTCCCTATAAATAGATTTTATAAAGTTAATGTTGATTGACTGTTAAGATGTATCATCTATATTATTTAGTAAGATGAGAATTTTAATTATGTTCTTCTACTTCAGTTTACGAATTTATCAATCAATAAGTTTAGTTTTATGATAAGCAAGAAAGGCATTTTAACAATAAACAACAACAGATTGCGTGGGTGTATATTCTTTATGAATACGTCCCTGTGCTCCACACTGCGCATGTCGCGAATTTATCGACAGGAGCAATGGGTTTTCTCTCCAGCTTGAGCTCTGCTAAACGGCACTCGCTCCCTGCGCTCGGTCACATAACAGTCGCAACCAGTGTTCCTCCTCATTTTCATAATAATTCTACAGTAATTATCCTACCGTACTGAAATTCGGCAACGATGTTATTATTTAATTTAGCCGCATTTTTTGCGGTTTTTCTGATGGGAGGTGCGGTGCCTACGCCTACAAATAAAGGTACGTAACCCTTTACTTTTACAACGGTTTATCAAAGTTTTTAGCAGATGTCAGGCTTACTAATCTACGCGCAGGATATCGGTATCATGTCGGTTCGTTTGTATTGTTTTGGTGAGAGTATCGATCAGCCGCGGCCGGGAGCGTTCTATCTATATATAGCAACAGGTCAACAGGTGTCCTTTCTGCGCCGATGTTGTTCTGCGGCGTAGTTCCATATTTTCTCCATAAACTATGACCTTTGGGATATAATAGTTTATAAATAGGAGCTTTTATCGATTCCAGTCATCCATTTATAAAGATTCCAAAGAATGCGCGTCACAGTTTAAGGGAGATTAATGTGGGCGTTGTTATTTTGATGTCTTCATTCGGTCAACAAAGGGCTTATAAATATTCAAGGTCAAAGATAGGAAGACCGAAGCTATTTCGTTTTCATTGGATTTATTGGAGACAACCTTTTAGGCAATTTCACAAATTAATATTTCTCTGTATTTTTGGGCAAGGAATAGGTATCTATATACGAAGAATTGACAATTTATTATTGTGAGGTTTTCCATCAGCCCTTTTAACTGTCATCTGTCTGTCCCTACGTAAGTTTCTACCTTTTTAAGGGTACCTATAACTAGTACCTAGATCTATTTGAAACATGGCCTTGATATCAATAAAAAAATTCTGGTCCCCAGCCAAACCTCTCTTCAGTCGAGACCTCTTGGGTAATATTATAGACATATCTGCTGAGACATATTGAACATAACGTAAAGAAGTCGGGGGAACACAAAAATGAACTCTCTCCCCTGATGAAAGAGTATAAAAGACCTTTTCAATTTCCTTCAAACAAACGCCCTCGTGTTCTGAAAAGTCATCTACACCTGCGCTTTCGTTCATGCCTGTACATAGCGGAATGAACGATCTCACCCTTGTGGTGATGATTTTGTAATGACGATATTCAAAAATGATATCATAACAAAGAATATCCAACCTACATCTAATCCAAATCTTCCTGCTGTCTTATAAATATCAAGAGTTTAAAACATAAAATTATGACTGCTATTCTCCAATGGAGTTTGCAATGAGGCACGTACCTATATATACAGTTATACACCCTACATATACCCTTCCAATTTTATAAGTTATCTTAACTATAAATATCACTAGGAGCAATAAAACCAGGTATCATACTGACCAGGTAACACCCAATTCTACATTACTCGAGGAATCACACGCGATATCTTATGTGGGATACTTACAAATGAATCCACTAGCAAGGCAGCCTAAAAAAGGAACATAGATACGTAGTTGTATATGTTTAAAATGTAGGTCTCTACCTACAATGTTTTCAAAGAACCTGTGGGTATTGATTCCTCAAACCATTCCTATTTATAAGTAGGGTTCCGTGTCATAGGTACAGTCATACCCAAGTAGGTAGGCATTTCTCTTTCCATACTATTCTAGATGTGGCTTCTTATCATTCCACTGAAAGTTTTATCAACATAGTATGGTAGTACATATGTAGATATACTTCGATCTCTTAGATAAAAAGGGTAAAAACCTTCCAGACGACTTGGCTTTTCATTTTACTACGTTGTTAGCGGTCTAGCCACAGTATGAAAATGTACGTATAACTACTTACATAGGTTTAATATCAATAGCAATAAAAAATAGCAAGTTTCTAGACAATTTCTCCCTCGGTCGTAGGGGTAGTTAGGGATGTTCATAATAGTTCATAGATCTGTATATCCGCAGCATATAACACTCCATCGAGAAGAATGAACTTGCTTAACAATCACAAGGTTCGTCCATCAAGTTCCATTTAGTGAATGTGGTTCCAAAACCTTTACTACCACTTAAAATTTTTCGTCACATGAAATAAAGAAACTTAAATCGAGCGCTACTGAAGACTTAAATATTTTGATCTATAGGTACCTAGTGTCTGTAGGTACATCATCAGTTACATTCAATACACAATAGTCACAGTAGGTATATACCTTCCCACAATGTCTTGAACATATTTCGAGGCACACTATCAATGTAAATAACATTTTAGATGATGGCGGCCCAATTGGTGAGCTTCCCGAGAATTGGGACCAGACAAAAGACGACACTCAATCGCTTTTCCTGAATAAGAGCGATAAAAATGACTTGGAGCCTTACCCGTTGGCTCTAAGTGAGGAAGGTAATATTAATGGTCCCTGAAAACTTGTTGCTTTATATTGTACCTCTATGTATCTATTGAAAGGGTTATAAGTTCAATTATTAATATTATCACCTGCTCAGAATTTTTGCTTCCTTTCATTTTTGCACATTTGTTTGTCGTGCCTAATCGCTTATTTTATTTTCGGAGACAATCAGTCGTTATTATGTAATTTTAATATTCATAATATATCGTTTATTTAGGTAACATTAATTTCAGCCATGTCGGATGATTGTAATTAATTATTTATTAAGGTATTTAAAGACGTAAAGATTTCGTATAGAATAGGCAAATCCGGAGACTGAACAGGACACTGACAATGTGCACTGTACAATAATAACGCACTGATTGTGAAATTGTATACTACAATAGCCCAGTACGAACGAACAGGTTGCAAGCTCGCCGACTATGATCATCCTTTATTGCCTGATGCAGTTTAAGTGGATAAGAATAGGGTTATAGGCGTAAGGATTTATACAAACGTTAACTAATCATTAACCTTAATTTGGAATTGCAAATATGTAGATAGTGATGAAGCTACTTGTTATAGGCTACTTTTTGGTGATTTATACTAGCAATGTGTGTAATTTATACTAGCTGCATAGGTATTATTGGGTATTATTTTATAATGTTTCGAAGTACAAGTTCAATACAAAAATAACTTCATCAAAAATATTAATTATATCGGATGAAAGTATGGGCCATACTTTTTTCCGTTTGTAGTATGGCAGTAACTACGTGACTGATTGTTAACATTTTTAAGACCTCGATTTTGCGACTTTCAAACACAACACAATTTTTTGCAGGAAATTCCGAAGGGTTCGAACAGGGTGTAGATCAGAGATTCGACTCCCCGCAACCCAACGGGGAGCTCGATAACTTGATCATGAGGCCGGAATTGTATGGTGAACCCCCAGCAATGGAAGGTTTAGCCACTAGCTACGACTCGCGCCGTCGCAAACGAGGAAGCGGAACTAAAGTCGGCGGCGCAGGGGCCGCTACTAAAGTAGCCACCAAATCTGGCTCGGGCAAGAAAAATCTGAAGTGAGTGCTTTAGTCATCCGGCCAATACCAATTGCATTTGCTATTATAAGAACACTAGACTTACAGTATTCTATTTTTTAGACCGGAGGAGCACGATGCTCTCTCGCCCGTGGATTCGATGACTCACGAACACGACGCACACCGCCGCAAGCGCGGCAGTGGCACAAAGGTGGGCGGAGCGGCTGCCTCTGCCAAAACAGCCACCAAAAATTCCGGTGGAAATAAAAAGAACTTCAGGTCAACATAAACCTCCATCCTTGAATAGGTGTAAGTATGTAAGTCATCACAGTATTATCGTAACTAAATAATTTCATTTACGTTTAGGCCTACCTCAGAACGTCGCAAACGAGACTCTGGTCTCAGTGCAGCTGATGTCCGAGCTCTGCTCAACTTGTGGGAGGCACAGGAACGCAAGAAACAGGAATGGAATGCACAGAACCAATGGGTTCCTGAACGCTATTATGGAGTTGGACATGTAAACCCGGAAGACGAGCAGCCCGAGGTTGATGAGAATGGAGACATCTGGTACAGCGAACCCGTCGTAATCTCACCACGTGAACGAGACTACCCTCGCCACTCATACTTCTCCGAACAGAACCGCATGGCTCTTGCCCATGGTTATCCCGACATGTATCAAGTTGGCCCGGCAGAGTTAGCCCAACGGTATGAGGAAGCTCGTCGAAAGAGGCAATATGCTAACAAGATGAAGCGCTTCATGGTCGCTAGGAAGCGGTCAGACGGCATGATGAACCACCAGAATAGCTACAGGCCCCGCGATGACCTCTACACTCTGGCCGAGCTGCTGCGCTCAGCTCCGCGAGTACAAGAGCAAGACATTCCTATCTATCGGCGACTGATACTGTAAAGCGTTGTTTGAAAGCGGTGTCCATTCTCAACAACCTGTGATTCCTTTAACGGCCAGGTCTTTGAATAAACAGCCAGGACGGAAGATTAAGCGAACCAGCAGATAGAGTTGTGGCCAGGCTTGTTGTCGGATGGACGCCAAAGCAGGTTTTGATTTGGAGTGGGAGATTGTCGTGCATTTAATTCGCAGTTTGTAGCGGATACCTAACAAACCCTAGTGATAGGAATAGTTTATAACAGTGTCAGAATATTTAATATTTACTTATTTTACACAAATTACAATTTTAAGGCCTAAGTAGTATTCAAATTATATGAAATTTACAATTAATAGAAATTGTTTGATTATTCTTGATTTCGTTACTTGTTCTGCCAATAAAAGTATTATTTCTGTAAAGTTATTTAAAGTCTGTGGATTGTGTGTTCTTCTTGGAGTACTTCTGTTTTCATCATATCTGTTATCTACACAATTTTATAAAATGTAACCAATTTTTATCAAATAGTTGTTAGTTTCATTGAACATTCATAGTTTACGGTGGAGTAAAACTTCACAATGTATTAATGTACTCTACATTGAATTAGTATTAGCTAATAATTATATATGTAAATGTAAACTTGCTGTATTAAATAAAATAGTGTTATCTTAGATTGATGTTTCATTTTTGTAAAACCTTAGCGTAGATACGACAATAAATACTATAGATAAGTATATACTTTTTCAAAATGCTGGCCTATGTAAATCTATGTCAGTGTTAAGTACATTTGTCAATATTGAATAAATAAAGAGAATTTAGAAAAAAATAAAGTAATTTTCTAAAAAAGTAAATGTAATTTAAGCAAAACCGCAACTTTCATAAGTTAATATGAATAAAAATATCCACAATAGGATAAGTATTACAAAAAGTACACCAGGAGTGACATACAACGACGCAGTTACATCCACTGATAGCCAGCGACTGCAGGATGGAGAACCGACCAGGGAAATCGCGCAACCGACGTATGCATCACGGTTTTGGTTATTTAATTACTTTAAAATGTGCACCCTTCGATTAACAAATGACCTATTCACATCGTTCATGACTCATTGGTACCCTGACCGCGAGATTCTACCGGCTCATATTGTGCATCTAATGCAAGTGCAAAGCAGGCTCCGCGCAGAACGCGAGTCGCACGCGGTCACACTCAGCAGGTACAAGTTATTCAATAACTCTTCTGTTACGTCAACGAACGAGCGCTCTACACAAACTGTTTCGTTAGTTCCAGAGAACAAGCAGACGATACTTCGCCGGTTTCGTTGAGAAACTTCTTCAACTTAAGTACTACTATATTCTTTCCAGCGAAGATGAGGCGGGCGTCCACTTTTCACATAGAGATCTTGATTTCCTTGGAAGTGACCGTGAGCCAATGTTCGTCATTGTGGACTCAAGCAACATCAGTGATCCAAGTTCTAAGGAACTACTTATCGATAATGTATTTCACCCTAGAGATACGGTTTTGACAAAATACTTAAATAACAACGTTACGCCTGTGGACTTGCCGTCAACCAGCACAGATCTCAGAAATGAATTGGTACCGCCGCTGCTGAGAGGAACCGACTCGTCTGATGAAATGCAAATGATGGACATTAACCTTCAAAGTGATAACGAACTATTGGTTGGTGACTCTGACTGCGACAATGATTCTATAGTGATATCTTACTTGAGAAACAAGGATACCATTTTGGACTTTGAAAGTTCGCTAATGTCAACTAAAAAGAAATCGTCCCTGCTAGAAAATGTACCGAAATTGGAAACGATATTAGAGAGTGAACAATTTAGCACGTTTCCATTGACTTCTACACCTGAAGCCACATCACAAAATTTTCTAAAAAACGGAGGACAACATAGCCCATAATGAAAGCTTATAAGCCAATGTATTGTGCAGTTATTTGTTATCGCCTCAATTTCATTAAATTTTTATGACTTTGATCTTTTTCTTTTATTTATGATTATTGAAGCGTTTTCTTTTTCTTATTATGAACTTTCCCATGTAAAAAACCTACACTGACCATCCTGGTAAGTCTTATATTTTGTTATTGATATACTAAGAACCCAAATAATTAGATAAGTCTGTCGTAAAATTTAGATTAACGTATTTTAATTAATTCTTGTTGTCTACACAGCGTATTCGGACGAATCTTTAGATGCCGTGATACCTTCATTTCCAACATCAATGCGATCATTTTTTGAACAATCAAGTGAATCTAGTGGCACTTTATCAGTCTTATCATTATTTACAAATGAAGACACAAATAAATACAAGCGAGCAATTGAATTCCTGCACAATGACAATGACTTCTTGATAGCGGCTGAAATTGGAGACGAAAACATGTTAAAGATATTACTAAAGTAATCAACTTTTATTTTTTAGATAATATAACTTAATCCCCCTTTACTTAGTTATTACTTAGAATAGGTATCCATAAAACATTTAAGATTTCAACTATCTTGCTCCTTCACTGATAAAATGTGCGCATACCTAAGCAAAGCTTTAAGCTACCTATATAAACACGCACATTAAAAAAATGCATTAGACAGGTACTTACTTATATTTTTGATGAACAAAAACTTACGAAATATACCTATTAGTACATACACCTATGAAACATTTTGGTAATATTTCAAATAAATCATCTTGAATAAATGCTTTTAAATTTTTAAGTGAACCTTAGCATCTTTGCAACAGAATCAAACTTCTCTCCATGCATCTATTCATTTCGTGCCTAGTCAACATTACGAGATAAATAAGTGTGTGTAAAAACTTTGCAGCCGAGGAGCTAATATAAACGACAAGGACCATTTGGGTCGTAATGCTCTCCACTTAGCTGTTTGCTCGGGAAATCAACAAGCGGTTTTGATGCTGCTAAGAGCTGGAGTGGTTGTCAATATAAAAGACCATTTGGGCATGACACCGCTTTCCTTGTGCTTAATGAGAAGGTACCTATAGTATGTTTAGCCACAACATTTCCTATGTATGTTGGAAACGCATTTTTCCCAATTCAAGTAGATAATAGTTGAACAAAACTATATAAGCAAACGTAGTGTTGGCCTTCCAGCTAACCGGAGTGACAATATCCGCAAAGTTGCTGTTTTTTGGCCTCTATCTCGCCTGATGGTAAGCGACGGTGCGGCCTAAGATGGAGCGCGTCTGTCCATAAGCCACCTTGCTGGAAAAGTTTGGATGCGAAGGGCTACAGTTACTGAAGATCGAGTTCACTGACGGTATACCTACTATGGGAGACTTTGGAAATGGCTATGTTCAGCAGTGGCCGTAAATGTTCGATTCTGTTCTATTTCTTATTAGGCATAAGTATTTCTAGCTATTTCTAGCTAGTACATAGATAACATATTTTTTGCTATGAAAATAAATAGTTAATAGCTTTACAAATTACTTTTCAGACCATCTTGGCGAATGGCGTCAATGTTATTCGACCATGGCGCTGCACTTATGCCAAGGTTAACTCCAATGGACACTGGTTTATTCCTACGTGAGTTCTGAAAACAACGACATCTCTCACATCTCAACTACCTACAGCTTAACCAGCTCATTTTAACGAAAACTTCCTCTTATCTTTGAAATAACAATTTTGCTCCTTATGACCTTTTATCTTTCAGAATTTGTCATGATGTGTATTCCAACAAAAGAAGAAGAACGAATACTACGTCTTCTCGTGGAGAAAGGTGCAGTAGTTAATGACCCTGATGCACCGGGTGGGCGACAATCTTTACATTTTGCGGCCATGAGTAACAATATTCGTCTTATTAATATCCTAGTGGACTTAGGAGCTGATTTATATGCAGTCAATCACAGAAATCAAACACCGAAAGAAGTAGCAGCGATATTCAATTGTAAAGAAGCGTTCGGTCTTTTGGAGCAATTCGAAGAGCTCTGCAGTTTAATTGTCGATATCGACGAAGATGCTCTATTAGGCTCGACTTCACGAAACATTATTGGGGACAATTTGAAACGCAATCACTAATTTATGTTTTCGTTTAGTCCTATCCATATTTGGTTTCTATATAATTATGTAGGCAGATAGTTTGTAGGAAAATACCCTTGTTTAGTTGCTAAAATCCTGTACTTTGTAATTTAATAAAGCAACATGAACACCACGCATCTACCCAATAGTTTGTCTGATAACACTGATTGTATTTACATTGAATAAGTACCTAGTTAACCCACATTAAGTTCAAAACATTATATACCTACCTATCTACCTGCATTAAATTATTTTCATGCTCCAGATATTAAGTTGACAGAAGAAACATACATCCTTGGATTTTTGGATTCTAGATATACTTATCGATGTAGTAACATCCTATGCTAATTATTTTTTAAACATCTTAAATGTATTTAGAGTATTTTCATTTGTACAGTTTTATTACGTTACGTATTAGGTATACATTTAGATAGGTACCTACGTATTACCCAGAATAGTTATTTCGATGCATAAAATTAAAATATTGTTAGAAGCATAGACAAAAAGGAACGAAATGTCATCGCGTAGCGGGAAAATATAATCTGTGGTTCGAACAATGAAAAAGTCAAGATGGCGGGAACTCGGAAATTATTGAGACGGCGTATTTGGTGTTGAGGGAATTTTATTCTATTTGAAAGTTAATTTGCCTATTCATGTGTTATTGTTGTTGTTTTTCTTTCCAATTAATAGTTATGGTTTAGCTAGTTCTGAATTTGTAATTGGATTTCGATGTTAACAATATAAGGTGAATTGTAATGGTGGTACTCTTTATTTCTCCTGCCTCCTGAGTTTCTAAAATCCAATGTGGTATAAAACAAATAAGTTACTAATATCAAAGAGTAAGGTGAACTCTATGACAGTTTTTAAGTTTCCTAATATCAGAAGTGGGATACGATTATTTTCCATGCGTTCTGACTTTCTATGTAGATAATACTTACATGATACGGCAAATTGACTATTCAAAGTTTTTCATTTGTTTTATGTAAGTTCGTGTTCATGTACTTAGTAGGTACGTTGTGATCGAGGTATTGTGGCAAATTGTGGTAACGTATAACTATGACTGAAACTTACGGTGAGTACGTTCCAATTCCCGTTTGAAAAGCTATAATGCTTTTGTGTATTTGTACGTGTAAGCTACAAATAAATAAAATTGTGAACTCAATGTTTAAACTATTCCTACTAATTTTCTTTTAAGTTAAAATCTTTAACAATCTCAAGTTCTGTTATTGTAATTTGTTATACCTACCTATGTCCTTTACTGTTACAAACAGTAAGGAGAGACAATGAATGTCACGTAGGTACTGAAGTGATTCTGCTAATATTCTTAGGCGATTCTGCTAACATGGCTTGTGTAAAGTAAAGTGAACTGAAACACTAAATTTTGATTTGTTTGACTGCATGGAGGAGTGATGCTGCCAATTGCTGGTGAGGAAACGTGAGCTCAACACCGGTGCGCCTGCCTGTGCTGACGTCGCTACAGCTACAGTTCATGACTGCGGCAGTAGCTGAGCGTCGATGGTTGGTGGCAGTAGGTGAATTGACTTCGCTTGAACTGCTATGCAAGCTTTGCTCACTGTGTTGTAGGAGCAATACATTCAATGACCAGGCTGGTGAGATCTGATCTTACTTTTATATTTAGTATTCTTTATCTGCTAATTTTTTTGATCAACTATATAGACAGCAGACTTTGTATGAAGCAGTAAGATACTAAGAATATAAAGTTTGAATTATTGAAATAAAAATGAGTAAATGTTTTACAACGGCAACTGCTTAAAAGCTAAGTCCAAGGCTCAATTCATGGGTTACCATTGGTTGTATTTAGAGTAATGCAAAGGATTAGTTTGTGAAACCTTTGTGCTTTTGAATACTTTGTATGAAGTCATGAGTACAAATACTGATCAATATCCAACATATGAATGCTGAATATGCTTATCGATAACTGTTAAAAGTTACAGTTAAAGTCAATGGGTTGATGATAAGCATATTACAGCAGCAGTAAAATTGAACCAAGTTTTAACTATAAGTTGTTGGTGTCGTTTGTTACAAAGCAAAATACATTAACTGTTAACAAGTTAACTAATATTAACATTGTTTGTATTCTTATGTTATCAGGCATTATTTGTTATGTTTACACTTGAAAGAGGTCAATACATTAACAAACTTTTACTTAACTTAATGTATGTATTGCGTTTGAAGTGGCATCTTGCAACTGAATTTTGAATCACAAATCTTTAGCCGATGGAGCTGAAATTTTTTTATGTGTTCAGGTTTAGCTGTCAATTCAGCTGAAATTTTACATCTTTTATCAAAGTAATGTAATCCAAAGAATAAAGATTAAAATCAGAACAGGAGAACTGCTGTATGTTGATGAAAAACATATTTCTCTTCTACCATTCACTACAAGTTAACAACTTGTGCAGAATTGTGTAAAATGCTACATGTTACTGCTTGAATCATATCTTAGGTAGTTGTACAGGGAAGTACTGTTGTTATAATGGAAGACAGCAGTATGTGTATGTTTCTCCTTAGCAGCGTTACCCTTGATAGAGTGTTGATGTGGTTGTTGTACAGTAGTGAAGGTAGGTTGCCAGTATGCACCTCACAGTTACTGTAACCCATAATATGTATGTCCGTTCTGCACTTGTTTAGCAAATTTGTAAATACAGACTTAATTTGGTTTGTCTACCGCATGAGTAACCTCTTGAGAGGCCGAGAGTGCTTTCTACTACCGGTGAACAAGCTGCTGTATGGATCGGTTGTTCCTCCTAGAAACGTGACTAGACTCCGTAGAGCGTCAGGATACATCATTGTATGCTGAGAGAGAGATGATGCCTAATTTGTTATCGTTTTTTGCTTAAAATTTCAAATATGTACA